CTGCTAAAGGAAAGGTATATCTGGTTCAGCATTGCCATACCGCAGAAGTGTTCCAACGGTAAGGAATTTAAGTTTTGTGGACTAATTTAAGCTTTGAAGGGGAAGGTATTAAACATACACATTACAGTCGAGCCTGTCTAATACGGACACCGAAGGGACAGAGCAAAATGTCCGTATTAGAGAGGTGTCCGTATAAAAGAGGTCACTATGATGACGTCTCTTTTATGACTCCACTTATAGTTTTAAGTGTTTAGTAGCTAAAACCGGGCTTACACTCGTTTTTAAACTACATTAAGTTTATTAATTCACCGTACAAAGACAGTCTTTCAGTAGCATACAACATTGTACATATCACCTACATACCTACAGTTGTAGACAAATCACTGTTTTAAGACAAAACGAGCAACAGCGCAATGCTGCATGTAAAAAGTTGTAACGTAAAGCACAATTCTGTAAGCGTCTTTCGCTATTTTGGAAATGCAGTAAAACTAGAGTACAAAATGTAATAGAATAGATCTTTACGCCATATAGTTATTCAAGCCTTAAAAAAGTCGGCTATGTTCCTCTGTACACCGTTTGCAAACTGATTGTTTGGTATACAGCGACTTGGCTTTTGAAGTCACCTTGCATGGCTCATCAGGCTGACTAGACGGGATTTACCCTGTGCAGATTCACCTTATCGGGATTCACCTGATCACCGTAGTGTCCGTAAAAATGAGGTTAAGTTTATATGAATTTACTCTCTGGGGCAGATATTTAGTGTCCGCTCTCCTTATTAGAGAGAGTCCATATTATAGAGGTTTTTTTTAAAGAAAATATATGAGAATTTTGTCAGGACATTGGGAACTGTCCGTAATATAGAGGTGTCTGTATTAGAGAGTTGTCCGTACCAAGAGGTTGGACTAAATTGGAATGGGTACCATTTAAGAATAACGTGAATGTTACCTTTGTGTGTTATTTGTCGGATTGGTCCGTATTTTGGCCCTTACGAGAGTCTATCCTACCTCCAAAACAACATCTTTCTCCTTACCATTTCTAATTGTCCTGTTTTGCCATGGTGTTTTTAACCTTACCACATTTTCAAGTTTTGCATATTTTAGTTTGGTGCAGTACAAAAGTCACACTTTTCATGTGCTGAACCTAATCCCTTCGATTAAGTAAATGAAGAGACCATTGTTTGAATCAATTAAGTCCAACATGTTTAATTTGGGTCGTCCCATGAATTAAGATCGAGTAGCTCACATGGGAATTTCGACTATGGAGCAACTTCGTTTCAAACTCCAAACTTCTTATGTGCCAAACCTAATGGATACTTTACCATATTTATTCGGCTATAAGATGAGGAATTTTTACACAAATTAAAGCTAAAGGTAAGTGAAATTTGATTCCAATAGGGGCTTTCAGCTTATAACCAACAGTTTTGAAAAAAAATCTTTTTCAGTTTATTGAAACTCTACTTAACGGGGATGTATTCACTTATGAGCCAAGCGAATAGCAGCAAAAGATCGAATCAATCACTTAACTACAAACCTGAATGATAAGTTAGCGAAGCACAGATAATCAGTCCCAAATTGTCAAAATATCTAACAAAAACAGGTTTCGCAATAATACTCATTGGTAAGCCTTTTACAACAAGGGAAGGTCTAAAACAAATGAAAGATTTCAAGAAATGTGTAAACAATCTGCCATGTTTGGTCAAACACGTGCTTCGAAACATTAGCCTGGTTATTAAGCACAGACAAAGGCAACATGAACTGCTGTGGTTTGATTTGATTGAAACGCGATTTCTGTGACCATTTGAAGCATAATGTGATGAAGACAGGAGAAAGATTGGTAGCACGAAAAAACCAAACAACAATTGTTTAAAACTTCAATCATATAAGCCGTTTATGTCGTTTAGTCAACCTGTTAAGCAAACCGTTTGGAAAATCAAGGCAATCTGTTTGAACACTTTCCAAAGCCATTAGAAATTTTTGCCCATCCGTTAGAAGCAATAATCAAACCATTAAAATGCTTTCTAAAGCTGTTGCCTGTTTAACGGAAATACGTTAAGTAAGTGTACATTTTCTTGGAGAAGGTCACTTTTTTTTTTTCGAAAATGTTAGGTTAAATGTTTTAGGTTAAAAGTCTGATAACGAATAGGTTATAGGTTACAGCAGTAATAGTAATAGTCTTGTAACAAATAGGTCATAGGTTACAGCAGGGTATTTTGGATTTATTTTTTGTTCTTGGTTATGTTGATTCTTCGTATTCAAAGTTCAGGGTCTCGGCTTATAGCCGAATAACTACCGTACTAGAATTTATTTTCTCTTGTAAGCATTTTAGACCATTGAGCATCATGAAAATGAATTGATTGCAACTAATAAAGTTCGACGTCTGAATCAACCAACGAACTTGTATCATTTGGGTCTCCCTAAAAAGTTATTACGTTCAGTACATGAAAAGATCGATGTTTTAATTGGACCTTAATGTATTTGGCGTGGGATATTGTACACTTTGGTTAGTATAGATAGCATCCCCTACAGAGCATGAATAATGCTAGTGGTATATGATCTATGACATCATTGTATCAAAAAACCTTCATTTTTGTCCGTCCACACATAAAGTAGAAGCTGGCATTTTCAAAAATTTCCACTTTGGGGACTGTTTTTGTAAATGTCCTTTACAAGGGGATTGAAGGCTAAAGTAGAGAGAAATGATTTGTCTTAAAAAATATGCACAAATGTGTGGATGAGGCCTTAGAATCTCACATTGTCTTATTGTTACTTTGTGCTTTTTGTGTACTAGTGGTTGAAGTTGACATCAGATGATGTTAAGGAACAAATTTACAAGCTAGCCAAAAAAGGCTTGACACCTTCTCAAATAGGTTAGTATAGAGCTGGGTTTGAAGGAAGGACCTGGAAATTTGCCAAATGCAAGTGTAAATCTATCTGGGAAAACTATAATCTTTTATCATAAGAGCACATTATGTGAGTGACTTGCCTGATGGCCAGGATTTTGGAAATGGTGAATAAAGCAGACTTCTAGGGCCCAATACAACAGCTGGTAAATGGACAATGTCCAGCCAAAATGTCGATTTGACTGGCTAAAAAATTTACTCATCTGTCATGTTGACCACTCAAAGCTTACAGTAGTCAGCAACTTAAATCTTAACAAAGCAATTTTTGACCCCGCTAGATGTGGTAGATGCTATGTAGGAAACTTTACTCTGAGTCTTGGTTGGGCAGATGTTACTTTGGCAGTCAACACAGTCATCTTGTTAAGTACCATCCTTGAGCCTCCATTAATATTTAGCAAAACAAGATGACTATCCTTTCATTACGCCACTTTTTAAAGGTTGTAGCTATGACTAGAACAAGTAAATGATAGTTTGGAGATTACGGGCTGTTATTGGTGCGGCACATCAGAGGAAAACCCCCAGAGGAACATGAAATCCTCCTTCCCTGCTCAGTATTTTTTAAAAATATTTTTGCTCAAATAGGTGTGATTTTGCGTGACTCACATGGTGTTGCGCAAGTGCGCTACATTACAGGAAACAAGATCCTCAGAATCCTTAAAGCAAAAGGTAATTTTTATAGAGTATCCTGGATACTTTTTTTCTTTCTCCTCGTTCTGGTGATGAAATTATGAAAAACTGATTATGCAACACTTTTTTTTTTTATCAGGGCTTGCGGGAACCCTTCCTGAAGATCTCTACTTCCTGATCAAAAAAGCAGTTGCTGTTCGTAAACATCTTGAAAAGCATAGGAAGGTGTGTGTTATAAATAATTTTGATATTAACCCATTCACCCCTTGACTGCCTGTGCAGTTCCACTGCCATACCGATGGAAAGCTTGTTCCACTAGGCCACAGAGATTGAAGTGCACAACCTGCAAACAGCGTTTTGGTTTAATAGACGGACAGTGACCAGGAAATAGTTCGACTAGCTTCAAAACATGTTTCTTGGCAAAGTTCTTAGGGGCAAGTGAGTTAATGGACTTAGATGAGAATCTTTTTAACTTATGATGTTGTTTCTTATAAAGCATGTTAAAAAATTATTGAAACTATATGTATTTGCTGTTTAGGACAAGGATTCCAAGTTCAGGCTTATTCTCATTGAAAGCAGGATTCATCGTTTGGCGCGTTACTACAAGACCAAGAGAGTTTTGCCTCCAAACTGGAAATAGTAAGAACTACTCCTTGTTATGGTGTAACATAAGTTTCAGAAGAATGCAATCCTGGAGTGTCAAAAACACCTGTGATTTTACTGAAATTCTCCAAAATCCCAAAGAAATAGAAAATGAACAGTCTGTTACAAATTGGCAAAGTCAATAAAACTGTAACTTCTGACACATTGAAATGTGATTGTGATACAGTTGGTGATCAGGACACCTAAGCAAACCACAAATTAATAACTGTTACCATTACCGTGCAGTTATCTCATGTGATTGGCCTCTCTTAAAATAACTTTCCAGTACTCCTATTCTTAGGTTCATGGTAAAGTTCCTTAAATTGGGTGCTGGAATATACATGTATCTATCCAAGTATACTGTCTGGTTACTGATGGAGAAAAATCTTGCAATGTCAGGCTTGAAAAAAAAACTTCACTCCAGTTTTTTTCTTTAGACAAGCAGCTCTCTAAACATGTTTGGTTTAAAAGCAATTCTATTGAAAGCCAAAATTTCCTGAGCTCTTGCCTGTCTGGTGAGCAAGGGTGAAAGCTTCTGGTCCAGCTAGAAAATCTGCTTGTCCAAGATGACAGAACAGGATTATTTTTAGCCCCGCAAAGTACAGGTTGTAGATGTGTTGTTGTTAAGTGTGGGAAAAATCTGTCCAAGTGCTTAAGGCTAGAAAAGTGCCAGAGAGAGTGTGTTTTCAGTTTGGCATCACAATAATTCTTCCTTGTTGGGTTTGTTACATTGGGTGAAAATTAATAGGTCAGATTGTGGGCAAGTTTTCTTGTCTGTTCGTTCTTTGGAAATAATTTACCCAAATTCACCTCATATAGAGCAACCACTGATAAGTACTATATTTTTCTCTTGTTTCAGTGAGTCATCAACTGCCTCAGCTTTGGTTGCTTAAGCAAAACATGTAAACAGTAAATCAAATAAAATCCTCAATTTGAGTTAACCAAACGTTTTTGTCTTATTTTATTTTTATGGTAATAAATAAAGAACATCACCTTGTCTATAAATCTGTTGGCTGATGTCCAACAAAATTAACGTAAGCTGGCTTTCAACTGGCAGCCAGTTTACACTCAGTGATATGTTCTAAAATTACTACAAAAATGTTAGGGTTTATTAGCAGTTGATATTTCACTATTGTTAGGATTGTGTTATTCAGACTCTAATATTTGAGAGCTTCTTTAATATTCATTTGTTTCTGGACATGAGCCATGGGATATAAACAATATTATATCTTTTCAAGGGTTGAAGTGAATTCAGCGATTGGGTGTGGCTTATGTGAGGACACCTACTCCTGCAATCAACCAATCAAAACCTTGTGTTGCAGGCATATTTGCCATGCAATTTAGCATTTATTATATACTGTGTGTAATTTGCCTTCTTTGTCTTTGAAGTGCAATCAGTAGCGTGGGTGTCAGGATTCCTTTCCTGATCATATGACAGTGACAATGCCATGCACAGATCTGAAAACCTAATTTACCAATGGCAGAGTAAAAATTGAGCACCTGAGTCACGTTTACTCCTTTCCGTGTGCTTGTGTGTTCTCGTTTGTTGTTGCATTGTCTTTTCTAATCCTTCCAATCATTGTCCACTGCAACTGAAGCAAATTCTATGGTATGTGCACTACTACTGTGTAGTTTTTTTGTGTGGTTCAATTTTATCTCCAAGTTGTATAATCCTGACACTGCAGAAAAATTTTCTCCTCAGTGGAATTTGTTTTATTAATTTTATTAATTAAGGGACATCAAGTTACTTGGTTTGAGTCAGAGTAAGTCAACCACACATGCAAGTCTTGATACATTACAAAAAGTGTCAGAAACTTAATCAAACTGTTTTTGTTCACAACGAGAACTAAGAACCTACAGGGTTCGCATGCACCTTGAAAGTTCTTAAAAATAATAATAGGGTCACACAGTCTCTACAGTATTTCCACTCAAAAGAGGTGTCTGCATTTCTTACAATAACAATGCTAAAGCACTGTTGAGATAAGGATACAGTATGGTGGTTATTTGATTTAATTTTAACTCTTTGGCTGTAAACATATATTTAAGAAAATTTCAAATCCATAATATGAGAAAAACTGTGAAAGTGCAACATTCATTGATAAAAGTTGTCCTAAAAGAATTTTCACCCTTCCAATAGACCTTTTTACCTTGTGTTTTTCTCTCCATTTGCAGAACATCTGAGGTTACCCCAGATAAATGTTTCTTTCAAATAATAATATTTATTAATGTTGTGTTTTCCACATTCATATTCGCGCATAACTAGATTCAAGCATAAAGCAGATCTCTGGGACAACATCACATGGTCGCAATAATTGGAAAAATAACAACTACAAAAGTTAAAATTGCTTACTTTAGAGCCCATGATAAAACCTGCCCCCTGCAGGTTACGCAACATACCGTAAAATTCCGAAAATAAGCCCCGGGGCCTATATTTTTCAAAGGCCCTTTTTTAGGGGCTTATTTTTGGAGGGGGTATATTTGGAGGGGCTTATCTACAAAGGGAAATTTGTATTTCAAAATCGATTGGGCTAGCCTTTTAGTTGGAAGGAAATTTGCCGTTTTTGGTTTGTTTTTCTTTGTATTTGAGGGCAATTTCCAAGTACAAGCCCCCCAGGGGGCTTATATTTGGACGAGTGTGGGGGGCTTATACATGGAGGGGCTTATTTTCAGAATTTTACGGTACTCATTCCTTTTCCTCCCTCCAATCCATAACTTTTTAGAGGCTGCCCTCTCCTGAGCTTCTGCAATATATGCATTTCTAGTTTTATTACAGTGTAATATTTTCATCCAACACTTAATTCCAAGTGGTAAAGTCTTGTCATAAGAACAATGTGCAAGGTTTTTGTTGGCGTAGGGATTTCTTCGATTTTAACCCCTTACACTAAAAACAGTCCCTTTTCCAGGGTTTCTGAGTCATTCAGACAGGATGTTATTGTTCAAGTGTCAACTTGGGAAATTTATTTGCTTTAGTAAACATGCATTTGTTATGAAATTAAGATGACTGATTTCGGTAAAACGGTAGATCTGTGCCTGTAATGGCCACCTTTATGATCTTTTAATAGAAATATAACTGAGCTTAGTTGTTTTATTATCTCAAAAAAATACCTGACTAATACACTCCTCCGACATTGCCAAGCAATTGTTTCATCAGCTCTTAACCCACAAATATACACGCTAATTTACTTGTACCCAAAATACCTGACCCTGCCCCCTTTCCACCCAGAGTAATGTTTTGAAAGAGGGTGACAATATACACAAGGCAACAAGTCATTGTGACAAACCAGTTCATGTTTACAGGTCATGCTGCCGGTCTCTGCGATGCCAAGCAGGGACACACACCTTAGTATGCATTAAAGTATTTTTGTTAAAAAAGTTGTCTATTTGACAAGTCTCACAAATTCAAACTGGTTTCACACCAGTAAAATGCTGATAGCACCAAAACCTAACCTGTTTTAACAGAACCTCTTATCTATATGAAATGATTTTGTCTACCCCAGTAATAGTAAAATATATGGAAAACAACCTCAATATAACAAAACCTCCTTATAGAAAACAAAGTTTCCCAGTCGCTTGGGCCTTCTTTACATGAAGGTTCCACTGTAATGAGAACTTGTGTTATTCTCTACACTTTTGGTACCGACGAGGAAAATTAGCACCCCCCTCATCAGACTGTGAAATTTCATTTATTCATTCATTTGTTCATTCATTCGTCAACCCCTCTGCTAACCCAAAATAAACGCGAACTGTCAGGTAAATTATTGGAAACAAGAATTAAGCCAATAATGAGCTATGGGTATCTGTGGACATCATTGGTGCACACTTCCTACCTTCTTATCACTTCATTAATTATTGGTTGAGGCACAAGTTATGTAGTGGCATGCTTTTCCAATCAGTGCAAGATTCAAGAAAACTGCGTACTCACCCACCCCTCCCCTCCCCTCCCCTAACCCAATGTAAACACTTCTCACTCAGGGCAAAATGTTGTGTCACAGGAGGTGTTGGTGGGTAGTAAAGAGGACATTTGTTGTCCCCTCATCAGACTTGTGACATTTCATTTCATTTATTCATTTATCTACCTCTACCTCTGCTAACCCAAAATAAACACTCAGGGCAAAATGTCAGGTTCAATTATTGGAAACAAGATTTAAGTCAATAGTAAGCTTCTCCATGGGTATCTGTGGACATCATTGCATATTTTCCCATCAAATCGTCACACATCAAGAATTTTTCTGTGAGGTACAGCTGCTAGTGAGCTCGAGCTACCAATTGACACTGATGACCAAAATAAAAACACTAAAAAAGCAGCAGCTTTAATAAGCAAAACAAGAACTTTGAACTTGCTGCACACTTCCGGGCAGATTTCTTTAACAACTTCGTCGCTCGACTTATGTTCTCAAACTTGACCAGAATAGCTATCATCGCGACTTGGATTTTGTCATAAATACCCATAGAGAGTCTTAATGATCACCCATACAAATTATCTGGATACTTAATTAGATGGGATTTGGATTTTTTTTGTGTAATAAATTATTGATATTTTTCACTACTTCATCCCACCAATTTTATGAAAAAATTAAAAATAGTGGATAACGAAGGAGAATTTATTTTGAATGACTGAATTGGATTGTAAAATCCTTGTTTGCTTTGGAAAAAATTCTGGTTTTCAAACACAGTATTAAAGGTAATTAATATTTATATTTTTCACATTTGTAAATGACTAGTTATTACTATAATGTTTTGGCAGTCTCTTTCATGTCCTCCCATGTTGAAATTCCCTGCAAGATAATGAAAAATAATGAAGTGTAGTCCATACATTGTAACCTACAGAAGTTCACAGTCTTACCAGTAAATTGAGGTGGGAAATATTTTTGCATTCACCCATTTTTTGTAGATACAAGATAACTGGTTGGCTTCAAAAAAAAGACTTCTATAATAATGCCTATTTGTCAAGGTGAGTTGGTGATTTTTATTTCTATNGCAAGATAATGAAAAATAATGAAGTGTAGTCCATACATTGTAACCTACAGAAGTTCACAGTCTTACCAGTAAATTGAGGTGGGAAATATTTTTGCATTCACCCATTTTTTGTAGATACAAGATAACTGGTTGGCTTCAAAAAAAAGACTTCTATAATAATGCCTATTTGTCAAGGTGAGTTGGTGATTTTTATTTCTATAACAACTATCCTTTGCATTTTCTCTTAATAGAAGGGTGTTCCTTGACAGACTGCTTACAGTCAGCTTTTATTTTAAATAATAAAATAATATTATGTCTCTTAAGATACTGTCACCTCTCCTAAAGACAGACACCTTTGGGACCGGTACTAAGTATCCATCTTAGAGAGATCTCTGTCTTATAAAGAATCAAGTAAAGATGTCTGTTTTATAGAGGTGTCCGTCTCATGAAGAGTTTAATAAAGGGAGTAAAGAAAGGCAGGGACCAACTCTAGGTGTCCATTAAGAGAGAGTCAACTGTAGAAAGATCACATACTGCATAAAAGGAAAAATAGTCTTGCTCTCAGTCCATTCATGTTTTTTGGTAAACAGGCTCAACTGAAACCACGAGCTGGTTGGTTCATTTGTTGTAAATTAAAACAACATGCCTCCGCCTGGAAAATTTCCTTCAAGATGTTGGAGTCACTTGCAAGTGTATGATATTATTTTAGTGTCAAAAGCAATTATTAAGTTTGCTGTCTGCTTAGTTGCTTGGTTACCAAAAAACAAATGCAACATACCAATTTACATAGAGCTATTTGAGCCTTGATATGTGCTGCCAACACTCCTCTTAAATCACGCACTTCCTGTTTCCTGAAGCGTTCATAGTCTTTGACAGCTTCCTCATTAAAAACTCTAAATGACAAACAAAATGCACTCAAAAACAGTTACCAAGATACACTTGAATTCCCATGTTTTTTGTAAAACGAACCTGTATTTAGCAGACACACATTTCTAGCAGAGACTAGAGAGGGATCAAGGGTTCCGAAGGTGTCTTCTTAATACAGATTCTATGGTTTACAAAATAAATTCAACAGGTGCAAGACCTGGTTTGCCCAAGTAACCTTATAGAATCTTCTTGTGGGAAACATTATTTTTTGGAAAGATCAGCCTTCAGAAACTATGACATTGCTTGGTGGCCATTCGCAGAGACTCTTCTGAGACATGCATTCTTCGTAACATTTCTTCTTTTAGAAGCAGAATTTCTGCAGGCTATTTGACCAATCAGGCTTAAATTATCATACACAGCTAATTCTGTTTTGATCTATCATCAATCACAGTTTCTACTTGTATAGCTTGATGAGAGAACGATGAGAAGACAAGGGAATCACCATTTTGTGGACCTCCTTATGTAAAGTATATAAAAAATTTCCTCAAGTCAAAGCACTGAATGAAATGATACTGACGATCAGTCCTGTTCTATATGCTGCTGAGTTTAAAATGTGCCTACTGACTTAAATGTTCGGAGCATGTACTTTGCACAGGAGCTATTGGTTTTCTTATAGGAGACATCACTGTTTACAAACATTGTTTTTTTGTTATTCGAATTTGTAACAAGTGAAACGAAATAATTTTTTGTTACAAGAACCAATGTGCTTCTGGTTGGCACATAAATATCAGTAGGCCAAGTCAGCTTGAGTAACGCTATACAATGTATTTTGCAAGAGGTAAAAAATGTGTTAATTTTTTAACATTTGCTCTTGACATCCATCAGCAAAATTACAGTATCGCACCTAAGATCTTCTTTTGTTGTCTTGACAACTTCCTCAGCATCACTAATTTGTTCTTCCAAGTTGCTAATTTTGGTTCCTAATACTTCAGGAGACTCGGCTCCAAATATCATGGACGACAATCCCTTGAATGAAAAACCACTTGATTTGGGTGGGGCTTGTCCACTCTCTATTGCTTCCTGCATCAAAACAAACATGAAGACAAAGGAAAGCAATCTATATGACACTTGTACCATCGGGAGCTGGTGACCCTGGGCCCAGTTCCTGAATGGCCAATTAGTGCTAATCCAGGATTAAAATTATTTTCACTTTTTGTATTTACTTTCTAATGTTGCCTAGAAAAATCTTTTGTGTTATCATTACTGTATCTCAGAGTAAAGGAGTTTGAGTTGCATGTTCTTACTTAATCTTGGGTTAAAATTAACCATCTTAGGAGGAGCCGAGCTGAGATTACTGGTGAATAATTTGGGGACCTCCGCAGAAAGTGATCAGGCACAGATCAACACCAGTTTCCACCGTTTACGGGAATCAGTCTTATTTTTCATTATAAATATATTTTTAATAACAAAAAAAAAGTTGAATCTGGAGAATAGTTTGGAGGAAAGGGACTTTAAGTAGTTAAAATCCAAAAAATTTCCTGGGATACATGCCCCAAGACCCCACTACAAGCTTGTGCCTTTGGCACTCGTTCAGGAAATTGGTCAGTATTCATCCTAGACCCGTGCCTGGCAATCCAGGGCTCTCATTAAGATTTCAAGTTGCCATATAAAAAATTATGTGCAATTTATTATTATTAGGTGAGGAATTGAATGTACAACTGCAAAATTCTTTTGGTTCTATTTTTCTTATGTTGTCTATGAAAGTAGCCAGGGGTGGTAGTAAGGGGAAATCCCTGGCCCCCGACTCTTAGTGACAGCCCTGGTAATATTTCTTGAGCCTGAATATAGCAAAGCCTTTTCAAGGTTGGTTTTATTGGCAGGGTCCAGACTTATGAGTTCTGTTCAATCTAATAATAATAATAACTATTATTATTATTTACAGTCTTTTTTGCCACTTCAATGTACACCTGTAGTGTCTAGTTGACTCATCTGCATTGACCCCAGCCTAGCCCCTATGCATTCTCTCTTGACCTGTTGTCAGCGTGAAGTCTGGGAAAGAGCAGGTGGGAGTTCTTGGCAAGTTTCTCTTTGTGACATCACAGGTCAAGGTAGAGTCTAGGATTGACCGCACTGAGAATGCCTAGGGACTAGGCTGCATCTATAGATCCTTATTTCTGACCCTGCAGTCAGTGGTTACAATTTCAGTTTCAAAGCAAATACTCATTAAATTACAAGTGGTTGCTATGGAAACTAACTACTACTGCTACTAGTTATGTTAGTGCAATGACCTTTTGAGCAATCATGTCATCTCTTTGCCTCTTCTTAGTAGATAAATTGTCCTCTGCCTTTTCTGCATCATACTGACGAAGCTGCTGTCTATGGGCAACTCCCCTTGAAGACACACAATAAAAATAATACTTATTAAAACAATGACTAGAACCCAAATGCATCTGGGGTAATTCCTACAGTAACTGTTACTGCTATTTCCTGTTGAATAAATCTCTGAGCCCTCATAGTTCATTGAAAATGTACTTCAAACCTAAAACAGCGACTTAAACTTACCCATCTTTAGCACATTATGTAATTTTATTTATATTTTATTATAAATGATGTGATATTTTTTGTGGCAAATAATCAATATTTTTCTGTTCAGCTGCGGTTAGACTCACTTTCCTTTAATATACTTACTTTAAAACATCAGCAAAGTGCAGATATTCCTTCAGCTGCTCTGAAAAGCTCATATCATCATCTTCAAGTACCTCGTCAACAGATGCTGCAAGTCTGTTTCACATCAAAACGAACCCAAGGTAAATGGTTACAAAAGTATATAACACATACAGTCATCAGCAAGATAATGAAAAATAATGAAGTGTAGTCCATACATTGTAACCTACAGAAGTTCACAGTCTTACCAGTAAATTGAGGTGGGAAATATTTTTGCATTCACCCATTTTTTGTAGATACAAGATAACTGGTTAGCTTCAAAAAAAGACTTCTATAATAATGCGTATTGTCAAGGTGAGTTGGTGATTTTTATTTCTATAACAAATATCCTTTGCATTTTCTCTTAATAGAAGGGTGTTCCTTCATAGACTGCTTACAGTCAGCTTTTATTTTAAATAATAAAATAATATTATGTCTCTTAAGATACAGTCACCTCTCCCAAAGACAGACACCTTTGGGACCGGTATTAAGTGTCCATCTTAGAGAGATGTCTGTCTTATAAAGAGTCAAGTAAAGATGTCTGTTTTATAGAGGTGTCCGTCTCATGAAGAGTCGAATAAAGGGAGTAAAGAAAGGCAGGGACCAACTCTAGGTGTCCATTAAGAGAGAGTCAACTGTAGAAAGATCACATACTGCATAAAAGGAAAAATAGTCTTGCCCTCAGTCCATTCATGTTTTTTTGTAAACAGGCTCAACTGAAACCACGAGCTGGTTGGTTCATTTGTTGTAAATTAAAACAACATGCCTCTGCCTGGAAAATTTCCTTCAAGATGTTGGAGTCACTTGCAAGTGAATGATATTATTTTAGTATCAAAAGCAATTATTAAGTTTGCTGTCTGCTTAGTTTCTTGGTTACCAAAAACAAATGCAACATACCAATTTACATAGAGCTATTTGAGCCTTGATGTGTGCTGCCAACACTCCTCTTAAATCACGGACTTCCTGTTTCCTGAAGCGTTCATAGTCTTTGACAGCTTCCTCATTAAAAACTCTAAATGACAAACAAAATTAACTCAAAAACAGTTACCAAGATACACTTGAATTCCCATGTTTTTTGTAAAACGAACCTGTATTTAGCAGACACACATTTCTCAGGCGTCTCCTTAATACAGATTCTATGGTTTACAAAATAAATTCAACAGATGCAAGACCTGGTTTGCCCAAGTAACCTTATAGAAACTTCTTGTCGGAAACATTATTTTTGGAAAGATCAGCTTTTAGAAACTACGGCATTGCTTGGTGGCCATTCACAGAGACTCTTCTGAGACATGCATTCTTTGTAACATTTCTTCTTTTAGAAGCAGAATTTCTGCAGACAATTTGACCAATCAGGCTTAAATTATCATACACAGCTAATTATGTTTTGATCTATCATCAATCACAGTTTCTATTTGTATAGCTTGATGAGAGAATGATGAGAAGACAAGGGAATCACCATTTTGCCGACCTCCTTATGTAAAGTTTATAAAAAATTTCCTCAAGTCACAGCACTGAATGAAATGATACTAATGATCGGTCCTGTTCTATATGCTGCCAAGTTTACAATGTGCCTACTGACTTAAATTTTCAGAGCATGTACTTTCCAGCGGAGATATTGGTTTTCTTATAGGAGACATCAGTGTTTACAAACATTGTTTTTTTGTTATTCAAATTTGTAACAAGTGAAATGAAATAATTTTTTGTTACAAGAACCTATGTGCTTCTGGTTGGCACATAAATATCAGTAGGTGACATCAGCTTGAGTAACGCTATACAATGTATTTTGCAAGAGGTAAAAAATGTATTAATTTTTTCACATTTGCTCTTGACATCCATCAGCAAAATTACAGTATCGCACCTAAGATCTTCTTTTGTTGTCTTGACAACCTCCTCAGCATCACTAATTTGTTCTTCCAAGTTGCTAATTTTGGTTCCTAATACTTCAGGAGACTCAGCTCCAAATATCATGGATGACAATCCCTTGAATGAAAAACCACTTGATTTGGGTGGGGCTTGTCCACTCTCTATTGCTTCCTGCAGAAAAACAAACATGAGACAAAAGAAGGCAATCTATATGATTCTTGTACCATTGGGAGCTGGTGACCCTGGGCCCAGTTCCTGAATGGCGGATCAGCGCTAATCCAGGATTAAAATTATTTTCACTTTTTGTATTTACTTTCTAATAATGCATTGCCCAGAGTAATATTTTGTGTTATCATTACTGAATCTCAGAGTAAAGGAGCTTGGGTTGCATGTTCTTACTTAATCTTGGGTTAAACTTAACCATCTTAGGAGGAGCTGAGCCCAGATTACTGGTGAATAATTTGGGGACCGCCTCAGAAAGTGATCAGGCATGGATCCACACCGGTTTCCACCGTTTACGGGAATCAGTCTTATTTTTCATTATAAATATATTTTTAATAACAAAAAAAAAGTTGAATCTGGAGAATAGTTTGGAGGAAAGGGACTTTAAGTAGTTAAAATCTAAAAAATTTCCTGGGATACATGCCCCTAGACCCCACTACAAGCTTGTGCCTTTGGCACTCATTCAGGAAATTGGTCAGTATTCATCCTAGACCCGTGCCTGGCAATCCAGGGCTCTCATTAAGATTTCAAGTTGCCATATATGTGTAATTTATTATTATTAGGTGAGGAATTGAATGTACAACTGCAAAATTCTTTTGGTTCTATTTTTCTTCTGTTGCCTATGAAAGTAGCCAGGGGTGGCAGTAAGGGGAAATCCCCAGCCCCTGACTCTTAGTGACAGCCCTGGTAATATTTCTTGAGCCTGAATATAGCAGAGCCTTTTCTAGGTTGGTTTTATTGGCAGGATCCAGATTTGTGAGTTCTGTTTAATCTAATAATAACAATAGCTATTATTATTATTTACAGTCTTTGTCACTTCAATGTACACCTGTAGTGTCCAGTAAACTCCTCTGCATAGATCCTTATTCGTGACCCCGCAGTCAGTGGTAACAATTTCAGTGTCAAAGCAAATACTCATTAAATTACAAGTGGTTGCTATGGAAACTAACTACTACTACTACTAGTTATGTTAGCGCAATGACCTTTTGAGCAATCATGTCATCTCTTTGCGTCTTCTTTGTAGATAAATTGTCCTCCGCCTTTTCTGCATCATACTGACGAAGCTGCTGTCTATGGGCAACTCCCCTTGAAAACACACAATAAAAATAATACTTATTAAAACAATGACTAGAACCCAAATGCATCTGGGGTAATTCCCACAGTAACTGTTACTGCTATTTCCTGTTGAATAAATCTCTGAGCCCTCATAGTTCATTGAAAATGTACTTCAAACCTAAAACAGCGACTTAAACTTACCCATCTTTAGCACATTATGTCATTTTATTTATATTTTATTATAAATGATGTGATATTTTTTTGTGGAAAATAATCAATATTTTTCTGTTCAGCTGTGGTTAGCTACTCACTTTACTTTAATATACTTACTTTAAAACATCAGCAAAGTGCAGATATTCCCTTAGCTGCTCTGAAAAGCTCATATCATCATCTTCAAGTACCTCGTCAACAGATGCTGCAAGTCTGTTTCACATCAAAACGAACCCAAGGTAAATGGTTACAAAAGTATATAACACATACAGTCATCAAGAATTTTATATTTTGAGCTTTGGATTGGGGAAAGGAGTAAACAGGGAGGACCTTTATTAATGACCTACATGACGGACCTTCCAACTCTCACGGTTTGGGCTGTCAACTCACACTCTCACGATTTAGCCTCCACCATTAATTTAGCCTTCACGATGAATCAGAAAATCTTGAAATTGCTTGACAATTCTGGTAGAAATCACTCACCAATATTCACGTCTTCATAACTAGCACCCTTGCAACTTGTGTGACTTTGCTGCCCCAATACTCTCACTTACAGATTTTCAAGCAAAAGAGAGACTACTTACAGTCAAAAAATAATCATGGTTGAAGCTGCATGAGAAATGAAAAGTTGAATTGATAGTCCACAAAAATATTCTACAAAAAATAACAGTGGCCAGTTTAGTTAAAGATTTAAAACAAGCAATGTGACATTTAAAGCCAGGACCAGCTTTTCACGTCTGTTTTTGAGTGGTTTTCTTTGAGCAAGGAACAGTGTATAAACTACATTTTCCTTATGGTTAACCACATGTAGCATCTGACCTGTCCATATAGTGACCTGACTTCTGCAATCCATCACCCATCTCCTTCTCCAATGAACTCCACTCACTGTTAAAGACATTATTTCAACAACCTAGTCAGTTTGCTTTACAAGAGTATCAGTGCCTATATCCAGGCACTAGCTTCCAAAGGAGATTAGAGATTATCTGAATTTGGGTATTGTCCTTTAAATGTCTATCTTTATATACAATATGCTTTTGTTTTCTCCAAAAACAGCAATTTTCAAGTAACTTTGAACTGTAAACTAAAACTTAGAGGATTTACAGAAACTGAACAAACATTAATATTTGGAATAAGAAAGGCAACTTATTAATGTTCACCTCTGTTCAAAAATTATCGTTGCCCTGTTTTTTGTCCTTGTATGACAATGACAGGGGTATGAAAAAACAGCATTATTAGCGGAAGATATTTATGGAAGTTACCTGAAGACTTTGCCATAGTTAGCATGTTGTTTGTGAATAGAATATACTATATCAGCAATGTGCTTTGAACAAGAAAGAAACAACAACACTTATTAGTAAACGAGTTGGTGAAAACCAGTAAACCCTGCTTCAAAAAATTTAGCTAATGCTGTTACCTGTCGAACTTTGATCATGGCTGCTACATTGGTGCCTAAATTTTCAGCATAATGCTTCATGTCTTCAAATCTCCTGGGAAGAAATACTACATAAATTAAAACAAAACTATAAGAAAGAAGGAAAAAAACAGGTGTTGCACCAAAGAAGAATGCTTTCAAGCCAAAAATCTGTTCCTACCAAATTTACAGAGATGGCAGATAAATCATTATTCTGTCCATTACAAGTCTTTTCTTAGAATCCAAAGGTATTTTGTTCCATGTTCTTCAAAATATTTATACTCTAATCACACTGAAACGATTATAAAAAGCTTTGTAACTAATCTAAATAATCCCAAAACACAGAAATAGGAGTGGGCATCATGTTCATTTATGGAGCCAGTGTTACAGCATTACAGTCTCAGGGAAGACTACAACAGAAGGTCAACAAAATAAAAAATAAAATCAGGGATGACAGATGCCTCGAATTTGAATCGAACAGCCCTTGCGTAACTTAACAAACCTTAAATAGTCTTTTAGCCCCCCCCCCACCCCCCCTAGAGACACCTTTCAAGCACTTCTTAAATACTACAGACCTGCAGTTATGATGCACATGTAACATGGCACACATACTCTTGTGAGACTAACATAACAATACAAAATATATTTGTTCAGATAAATGATGTTCTGGGTTGAACATGGGATAAACATGTACTATTTGGCTGCATCCTTCCTAGAAATTAACTTATGGCAGTGCTACCTATCTGGTTCTTTGGCTGAAGCACTCCAACTTTTAAGCCTGGAGTCAACCTGAAAGAAATGACAAAAGTATCAAAAGATTTTTTATTGGAAACCTTGCATACATTGCACTTCATTAATGGGGAAACAAAAAGAGCGATTAATTATAGACCTTGCTTTGGTAATTTGTTGCTTGCACAGCTTCTTTCCAACCTTCCTCCTATAAAAAAAGGTGCAATTTACTCATATATCATAATTTAACCATTCAATAGACCTTTCCTGCATTCTGCTCCAGTGAGCAAACATAAAAAAATGAGGACAATGGTCAGGTGGACAATTACATACAAATCACTGTATTTTGTCCACCCGAGCCTCGACTTCATGCCTTTGTTTACAGGAACGCGGGGAAAGGTCTATAGTTTGAATGAAACCTTTCAATTTTGTTTATCCTTGCCCTCTTGAACTTTTCAGGATTGGCCATTGTGTTTTCTTCTTTAAAAAGTCCTGAACAGCGACCAGTTTGATTTCTTTACTTCAAAACATAGCTCTAATATAATTCTGTATCATTAATTTTTTATTGAGCTTTTTCCTTAAATTTTACACTCAATAATAATTCTTAATTATTATTATCCATCTTTATGTCTTTCAGAAAAATAACTGTGTTCATCAGACCGCATCCTAATCTGGTGTTCCTGTGGCACTAACGGAGAAATCTTAGAGCTATCACGGGTGACTGCAAATTAGCCTTCCCTATTAATTTCATCAGGGGCACCTCGGCCGAGAAACTTGACTCCTTTGACTTGATTTTGATTCCGTAATTTTTCCATAAATGATAAACGCAGATCCGTAATCAATCATTACCTCTAGTTTATTACATATGGCACCAGGGGCCCCATGAGGCAGCAATAATATATTGCAAGTGAGCAGAGATAGTTGCTTACGTACCATACAAGAAATAGTACTTGCCCTAAACAAAAGGGTTTTTTGCTATTAATAATATAAAAAATTATATTATCATAGTATGCTAGCAGCATGGTAAACAACAATAACTAANTATCTGGTTCTTTGGCTGAAGCACTCCAACTTTTAAGCCTGGAGTCAACCTGAAAGAAATGACAAAAGTATCAAAAGATTTTTTATTGGAAACCTTGCATACATTGCACTTCATTAATGGGGAAACAAAAAAAGAGATTAATAATATTATAGACCTTGCTTTGGTAATTTGTTGCTTGCACAGCTTCTTTCCAACCTTCCTCCTATAAACAAAAGGTGCAAATTACTCAAATATCATAATTTAAACATTCAATAGACCTTTCCCGCATTCTGCTCCAGTGAGCAAACATAAAAAAATGAGGACAAGGCTCGGGTGCACTATTACATACAAATCACTGTATTTTGTCCACACGAGCCTCCGCTTCGTGCCTTTGTTTACAGGAACGCGGGAAAGGTCTATTGTTTGAATGAAACCTTTCAATTTTGTTTATCCTTGCCCTCTTAGACTTTTCAGGATTGGCCATTGTGTTTTCTTCTTTAAAAAGTCCTGAACAGTTACCAGTTTGATTTCTTTACTTCAAAACATAGCTCTAATATAATTCTGTATCATTAATTTTTTATTGAGCTTTTTCCTTAAATTTTACACATAACTTAATAATAATTTTTAATTAGTATTATCCATCTTTATGTCTTGCAGAAAAATAATTGCGTTCGTCAGAACGCATCCTAATCTGGTGTTCCTGTGGCACTAAAGTAGAAATTTTCGAGCTGTCAGGGGCGACTGCAAATTAGCCCCCCCTATTAATATTATCAGGGGCACCTTGGCCGGGAAACTGGACTCCTTTCGACTTGATTTCATTTTCGTGATTTTTCCGTAAGTGACGAACGCAGATCCGTAATCAATGATTACCTCTAGTTTATTACATATGTCATCAGGGGCCCCGTGAGGCAGCAATAATATATTGCAAGTGAGCAGAGATAGTTGCTTACGTACCATACTTGAAATGGTACTTGGTGAACAACAATAACTAACTTTTCCACACAATGTGAGGTAGGTTGGCTTTACGCCACTTCCACATTTTCCATAATGCACCTTATTTGCCCCCAAATTTTGCATAACCTTTGTTTTTTATTCTCCTGGGTATTACAGCCGTCCCAAGAGAAATTGAAAACAACGTTTACGCAAAATTTTGGGGGGCAAATAAGGTGCATTATGGGAAAAGAGGAAGTTGCATATGGAAAAGACTGTAACTGTACTATGTAGACTCCTCTCTGAATAATAAATCAGAGGAAAAGTACCTGGTTAAAAAATCCAATGAATGTGAGATCCATTGATAACTGTGGATGTGCAGCACATCTTAAGAGAAAACTCTACAACAAAAAACCAGTAAAATGAATAATGGTAATAGGAATGAGTGGAGTCCAATTCAGTTTGTAATTATGAGCCATTAACAAAATCGGACAGCTGCATAGCAGGAGACCACATTCATGATTAAACCAATAATTATTATTGGTTTAATCATGAATGTGATTACAGACTGAATTAGACATGATCCAAATCCATCTTCGCAACAACATGCAAGAGTGATGGTCTCACCAAAAATTAAAAAGCTGCAAGCTACATGCAAAAAGCTGATAAAAATTTGAAAATAAATCAAACTGACACTGGAAGCAGACCAGCTGGCTCCCTATGGTGGAGGAATCAAAACTTGCGACAAATGAGAAACTAATCCAGTCAGTGGTTAGGGTGGGTTTCAAACCCACAACTGCAGGATTGTAAGTAGAGTGACCTGAACTCTAAATGACAAAGCCATGCTCCTCCCTTCCCAGAGTAATAAGCATCTGTGTTATGCAGGATGTAGGTGTTGGTAAAAAGAAGTTAACGAATAACACAGCAAACAAACTCTACTCCACTCATGCTTACCTCAAGAGCTGCTTTTCGTTTTTCTATAAAATCTGGATCAAACTTGTCTGCTGCTATTCTCAATGCTGCAATTTTAATCTGGAGATAAACACAACAGCAATATTTACAGGAATATATTTCACTTAATAAGGCAAAAAAGTTAAAATAATGGAATCAGAAAAGGTAGTAAGACTGCATGGAGTCCTGTTTGTTCTGTAATCATGTGATTGATCAGTCCAATTTGTTCTCATCACTGGTATGATTATAGACAGTATTAGATGATACAAAGTTCTGTTACCAATGGAAAAAATCTATCAATCATTACTAAAACAAACAAATTGAGGTACCAATTTGTACATGAACGCCCCAAGAGTTTTTGCTAGACATGAAAAAAAAAAAAACTCACTAATTTCATCCTACATTTATTGCAAGTGATGGCCTTTACTGTACAATAATATTATAATACTCAGACATGATGTGTACTGTCCTATTATACTGTCTTATTACACTCAAACTAGGTCAAGTGTACCCCCCAAGAATCCATTAATGACTTTATTATTCGACAGTTTAATTGGTTGCTAGTTGTAGATTTCAGATTGATCTCTGCATTCTTGCATGCATAATAAGCCGTGAATTCACACACGAGGCAGTTATGAAATTTCTACCAGCTCAGTTTTCCTGAATTTGATGTAAACGTCTTCTAAGAAACTTAATCCATTCTAAGATTTTCAATCTGACCAAATACAGAGAAGTTCTCGTAAAATATTCACTGCTCATTACGCATGCAGAAATGCCGCTTTGAATTTGACATCAGTTAGGGGAATGACAAAGGAATTTGGGAATGACTTGGGAATGACTAACAGCTTCATTTTTCAAATGATCAATTCATTCATAGAATCTTGGCGGGTACGCATGACCTGCCTTGACTGTAATGCTGAAATCAGGGCTGCCAATAGCCAAACAGAATAGACAGTTTTGTCATTTTTCCAAAAAACATACTTTATTAAACTCTTCTCAAAATGAAAATTAAATACAAATTTAGTATAACTATAGTTAAAAGAAGACTTCTTGGTGGTCTGGTGGTTTTCAACAGAGCAATACTAAACAACTGTCTATAAACTAAAAAATGAAAAATTTCTATGTACATCCCAATAATAAAGTATCTATAGCTGTTGAGTCTAGGGAAGTCCTGCTTGACCCTTCTCTATTTCTAGATCGCTGATTATGATTATGATCCCTGTTTATGACAGTTTTGTCATAGTTATATGACTACTGAAAAATAATAATTTATTATTGTTCTTACCCTTTTTTCTGGCAGAGGGGGGACAACCAACTGAAAGAAATGTGTTCAAATGAATTTTAAACCTTACAAAATCATATTATAGTTTAAGCTATCCATGCTTTTAACAATGAGAGATCAAGCTAATTAGCTTCATTATTGTTATTGTTACTATTATTATTAAGGACATACATGTCATACATGTAGCTTTTGTCTTTAATAATAATAATAATAATAATAATAATAATAATAATAATAATAATAATAATAATAATAATAATAATAATAATAACAATAATAATAATAATAAGTGCCTAACCACATATGTTAACTTGCAACAAAATTCACTGATAAGAATTATCTTATGAAGTCAGGAAAAATAAGTGTACAAGGTGAAGAAGCTGAGAGGGTTACTCTGGATTGATAAACAACAACTAGATTAGATCAAAAGGCAGGAACACCTTTTACGTCTGGTGCAGCCCAACCTGGGGGTAAGTATGTGTAGGGAGTCCCCCACAGCTAAGATTGTTCATAAGCAAACTACGGTAATGAATAGGGAGCTCACCCACGACAAACGCCCGAATAGGGTACACACTCCCTTACAACTAATAAAGACAACAACAAAATAGACCAAAAATTTATTTTTACTGGATGCCTCTTGATTTGGGACTTCCACTTAAAGCTAGGCTCACACCTATAAGAAAGGTACATGTAGACTGTAATATTATACACATTTTCCATCCATTTGCTTACCGCTGGAAAGTTTGCAACAAGATAATTTCTTAACAGCTCAAATTCACTATATCGTCTCCATATTGATGATGACATGTCAGGTTCCCCGGCTGGAGGACCTCCATCAATATACCTGAAAACAGTCATCAGAATAGTTTTATACTTTTATTGACAACACATTTATGTTATTCCTATACTCAAGACAAATGTCTAACTTTACAATATGATTACGAATTAACCTTACTGTCAACTGTCAAAATTAACCTTACTGTAAACTATTTTTTAAAATTATTTAAAAAGTTTCGGGGCAACTATGGAATGGCCTTAGTAGCCTGCCAAAACAGCCATCTCTCTTTGCCACTGGGGATGTTTTACTCAGGGGCGGATGTCCCTCCTGAACGATGGCTGTTTTGCAGGCTTGGGCCTTCGCAATACTTTACATTTTAATGATTACTATTCAAAGAGAAACTTTGATCCCCAGAGATCAAATACATTAATTTGTGAGGTCTTGACCAAGCTTCACATCTAGTTCTTTGCACACATCTCATTAATTTTTTCATAGGAGACAGCAAGAGTTAGCCATGAGGGAATCTGGATCTTTTGGGATCTCCTTTGGAAAAACTCATCAGAGCTGGCTGAGATCTACTTCATCAAACACCAAATGTACAATACTAAAATTAATTTACAATGATGTGATGAGTGAAAAAATAATCTGCATGCTGAGAGCTAACTGAGTTTGAACCTTACCGAGAAAATCTACTTGGTGATTTCCTTGAAGCAAATCCCCTTTGTGAATATTAAAGCCTTCATGGACTCTTACACTTAATTAACACATTGAAATCACAAAGAATTTAAATCATAGTGCAGGGGTGAAAATTACCCTGACCAGTCACCCTGCCCCAATAAAGACCTCTTGGAAAAGCCCCGATGCATCCGTTTATTGACGTTGACTGATCAAACGAGAAACTAGGATCAGTTTAACAAGACCTATGCAGCGTTTGAGCAATCCGTAAATCTTTTTAACAACCATGGGTTAACCCAAATTTTCATCGAGTAATATAAATCTTGTAAAAAAATGGGTACGATGGCAAAATTACTTGTTACCCTAACTCACTTAGTTTCGATGAGGTAAACGGTGTAAGGTTCCTTGAGGATATCAGTGTACCTCTTCTCAGAGTCAATTATCGATATGGTCATTGTATTTAAAAGACTTCCTTCGGGAAAATATTGTACTTTCTTCGCTGACTCTTCCCCTAAATAGTCCGCCATGATGTTTTCCTCGCTGTTATTCAACGCATGCGTACTGTCAGTGTCAGCGGTATCGTAGAATCCAAAATGGCGGATAAAGGTGATAAAGGCGCTGAAAAGAGTTTTTTAGCTCGAACGGCGAGTATTACCACCAAAAGAGCCAAAAGAGCTCAAGAAAAGGTAATGTAACATCATTTTATTCTGTTTCCATGGCTTTTAAAGGTTGGAGCATAATGATCAATTGCCCTCGGAAGTGACATTTGGGTGGTGTTTTGATCCGGTTATCTTGCAATAATTGGCAATTGAAATTTGCAGAGAGGTCCCTAATTTTGTCGTTTTTTTAATCGGTTGTATTTTAGGTTATGCAAAAGCTTGGAAAAGCAAACGAGACGAAGGATTTAACTTTTGATGAATTCGTGACCAATTTTAACAAACAACAGGTAGGGGGACGCGTCTATAAGCTATCATTAAGAGCGGTATTGTAATCGAAATACATGTACTAGCTGTAGGCAATTAATCTAAGCCTAAGCTTGAAGAAATGTGATTTCTAAAGACTGTTTTTGCCGAAGTCTTCAACGCGACTTGTGTTTGTCTTTATCTGAAAATATTTAATTTGTTACTTGATCGACCTTTTCAGTTAGCGTAACTCAACCGACAGCATGGAATTACTAGCGGAGTGGAGAAATGTACAATATAGAAGGAGAAATGAGCGCTTATTAATATTATACGTGTGTTCACTTGCTTGATAACAATGAGAAGTTTTATTTTCCACTTCATTTTTTAATCAAGTGAAAGAAAATTACCACATTTTATTTCATTTCTCACTGAGAAGAAGTAGATTGTACTAAATAGGTTATCTTATAGTAAATGTAAGATAAGACCATGCCTTTGAAATAAATTCTGATTCTTTTTGTACAGAGTGCAGCACAGAGGCTACATAAAGAATTAAAAAATTATTATGCTTGCATCAGAGGTGAGAAAAGAGAGAATTTCTTTCCTAATAAAAATTGCTACTTGTAGTCAGAGATACCTTGCCAGCAGAGGACCCTCAGCCCTTTGATCTTCCTAGATAAGTCCCACTTATCTAGGAAGATCAAAGGGCCTCTGCTTGCAGGGTAAGTCAAAGAATGAACAAGCAATAATAACCCTCTAAGCCACAGTGGAGCCTTTGCAGAGAAACAATCACATGGTACAAAAGCACCTTGCTGGCAGGTTAAGCAGTCCGCTAGCTTAGTGGTTAAGCAGTTCACGAGCTTAGCAGTTAAGCGGTCCTCTAGCTTAGTGGTTGAGCAGTTCACAAGCTAAGTGGTCAAGTGGTTCTCTAGCTTAGCGGTTAAGGGGTCCTCGAGCTTAGCAGTGAAGCAGTCCATGAGCTTAGCAGTGAAGCGCGGTCCTCTGGCTTAGTCGTTAAGCGGTTCATGAGCTTAGCAGTTAAGCGGTCCTCTAGCTTAGCAGTTAAACCGTTCATGAGCTAGGTGGTCAAGAGGTCCAGGAGCTTAGCGGTGAAGCAGTCCATGAGTTTAGCAGTGAAGCGGCCCACAAGCTTAAGTTTAGCAGGCATTCAGTGGTCAATTCCATAAGTTCAGGCTCACATGGTACGTGGTAGCTTTGTACACAGCTAGGTGTTGAGCGTTTGTGTAGCGGTCATGGAGTGGTTGTTTGAGCGTCAACGCAGTCAGTTAACTGTGTGATCATTTTCATCTGGTTTCGTCGGTTTACCTGGTTTTCCTCAGGGCAAGCATTGTTGGCTTCTAGCAGTGTGTGGGGGAAATTTTCAACTCACATGGAACATTATTGGTTCCTCACAGTAAGGAGTATCAAACTGAGCAATTTTTTGTGGCGCTTGCATTAGCATGAACCCGTTGGAAGTGGTTGCTTTTAGCATTTCCCCTCCCCCCTCACCCTCTATGTCTCCTTCCACTGATTCATCATGCTTCAGTATGACAGGTGCCTAAAAGGGGGGGCCATGGCTGGGTTGTGAGGTTTTGCTAGCCATGGGAGACTTCTAGGGGCTGGCTAGCGACGGTAGAGGCCCCTGGATACTCCACTCACCCACATTCCCTCTAGTTTTTAGTAGTAAATAGTGTTAGTAGTACTTGAAAAATATTATAGTCTTTTTTGTACTTTTAGCGTCTTTTTGCGGGTAGGTGTGCAACTACTTGTATTGGTGTGGTGTGGCATGTAGTGTTTATGTGGCATTGGCGTGGGATTCACAGCGTTTGTAAAATTTATGAGGCTTTGGGGTTGGACGTTTGTGGCATTTTTACAGCGTTTGTAGCATTTATGGGGCATTGCGCCGTACGTCTGGCACATGGGTCTTTTTTCTTCATGCTCTGCATAGGTGGGTGTCTCTGGGTTTGGAGTATTGGGCCTCAGGCTTCTCCCAGCCATGAGTCCCTTCTTTCGGAGCATTCAGCTCGGAGGTCCCTTCAGCTTGGCGTGGGTGCTCATGGCTGGAGGGCAGAGGTTTGCCAACCATGGGGGTGTAACTCTGTCTAGAAGCTGGCTGTGCTGTAGGTGGAAGCCCCTGGACATCCCAGGCACCCACCTCCACTAGTGACACAGGTGTTAAATGAAGTTAAGTAAAATATTTTTTTAACACAGGTAACAACAAGGAGCATAGGCATGGTCAGCGGTCAGTCGTTTGGCTCAAGCGGGGTCAGCCTTGCTTGCATCACCTCCATATGCTCAGTACAACGTTTTCCTGGTGGCCATTCTCTTTGTTTAGCCTTTGAATCATTCTTTTACTCCCATCCCTCCCCCCTTTATACTTCCACTGATAAATCAGCATGACAGGTACCTGGTTTCATTGGCGTGGATGGTCATGGCTGGAGGGCACGGGTTTGCCAGCCATGGGGGCGAAACTCTGTCTAGGGGCTGGCTGTGCCACAGGTAGAAGCCCCTGGACATCGCAGGCATCCACCTCCACTAGTCACGCAGTTGTTAAAGTTAATTTTATTTCTTGCCAGCAATGTTAGTTGCAAATGATGCATTTGGAGAAGCAGTAAAAGAAGTTTATGAACCTGACTGGCCTGGAAGAGATAAACTTATTCAGTATTTAGAGGTTTGTAATATCATAAAACATCAGGTTTTGAGAAAATGGGTTTATCTTCATCATCGAAAGAAATCACAAGAAGTGTTTCATCAGATAATTATGTAGTTTTAAAGTGGCTTTGTGGAGGCACGTCTGGATATCTTTCTAAAACCTGTTTTGTGTTTGATCTTTGAAATGATATCATACACAGTGAAGATTATTTTTTGACTTCGAAGAAGTGCTCAATGCATAAAATATACAGAACAGGGCTGTCATTAAGGGCCAGAGATCAGGGATTTCTCCCAGCTACTATAAATGTGGTCCCTGGCTTCTTTCATAGAAAACTAGAGGAAAGTAGAATTGAAAGAAATCCCTAGCTGTTTGATTTGTCACTAACTAGGTTGATTCTCAATTTCTTTTGTCTCCTAGCCCTAAGTCATGAATAATAAAATTATTAGGGCTACAAGACAAAGGGAATAGTTGAGAACCAACCTAAGTTAAAGAATTTTAACCTGAATTTAATTTTGACCTGTAACAAATACCCAGCAACTTTAAATCTTAGTTACAGCCCTGCAGAGCAAAATACATATTACATTTTAAAGGATGTACATTTTGACTCAGAGTTTCATGCGCTAAGCAATTATCAGACTGAAATCTGTTCACTTAGAGCATTTAGTTTGATGATTGCTCAGTGTGCGAAACTCCAAGTTTCAACTTTCCACAAAGTTTACATTAGAATATTGTAACAGTATATAATAATATACCAGTATTGCATCATATTCTGTATGATGCTGTCAACAGTAAGCAATGTGATCTGAGTTTAATGATATTTTATTTTTTATGGTAAATTTAGGAATTGCATAATCAATGGCATGAATTAGAAGAAAAACTACATGATGAAGTTATCGTCCCTCTAACAGCTTATCAGAGTCAGTTTCCTGATATCAAGGTACTCTACTCTAACTCAAAGAGAAATTTACTCCTTTTCAGCATCCAATAGTGTTAACTTCATGAGTTTTTTCCTGTCAGATCCTCGTACATCCATAATTTTGCCCACATCACCTTGACCTGTAGCAAATCAAGGTAGGCAGGATTGTAGATGGCCTGCAAAGACATTGTGTAGTATTTTGATCTAAGATGCAGAGGTGGAGTCTTGGAAAGGGTTTTCAGCCTGTAGCCTGAGATAACAGCCACACTTCACGACGCTACTACTGGTGTTCCCAAGAAATGACATCTGATGACAAGTGCAGAAATTCCGTACTGATGACATGTCACTACCCAGATCTGGGTAATTTGGTTGAAGCAAGCATCCCTGTGACCAATCAGTCTGAATTTTGTTTTCACTTTCCCTCGGCACGAATTTTCCAAGACACTTAAGCGAAAAATGGCTGTCAAAAACTGTCAAAAAAAAACTGTAAACACAAATCAACAGCAATTCTCCATAGTCTATACTCCTATCGACCATAGAAATGCTGTTCATTTCGTTCTTCTTCAACATCCATTTTGACTTCCTCTCTCAGATCCGTGTAAGTAGTCCCTTGAGTTTACCCTGAGCAGACAGTTTCGTGAGTTATTGGCCTGCTATGTTTCAACTTCCACTTGAGTTTTAGGGCACTTTCCATTTGTCAAAACTGGCCAGCTGGACCATTACCGGTCCAGTTATTTTGACAATGAAATCAGCTTTTTCCAAGGGTTTTTGCTGAAGAACCATCTCCTTCCTATTCAGGATTTGACTGATGTAGCTGGATAGTTTTGATTAATAGTGAAATTCTCATTATGAAGGAAAGGGTCTTGTCGGTCAGTTCTGACAAATGGAAAGCGCCCTTAAACATTTTGGTGTCATTTCTATGGACGATAAGAGTACAAAGAATGGAAAATTTGGATTTTTAAAATGAAAACGGTTAGAGTTTTTGTGGGAATAAGCAGACATGGTTACCTTTATTCACTAAGTCTAATGTAACTAAGCAATCAAGGTTTNAGATCCGTGTAAGTAGTCCCTTGAGTTTACCCTGAGCAGACAGTTTCGTGAGTTATTGGCCTGCTATGTTTCAACTTCCACTTGAGTTTTAGGGCACTTTCCATTTGTCAAAACTGGCCAGCTGGACCATTACCGGTCCAGTTATTTTGACAATGAAATCAGCTTTTTCCAAGGGTTTTTGCTGAAGAACCATCTCCTTCCTATTCAGGATTTGACTGATGTAGCTGGATAGTTTTGATTAATAGTGAAATTCTCATTATGAAGGAAAGGGTCTTGTCGGTCAGTTCTGACAAATGGAAAGCGCCCTTAAACATTTTGGTGTCATTTCTATGGACGATAAGAGTACAAAGAATGGAAAATTTGGATTTTTAAAATGAAAACGGTTAGAGTTTTTGTGGGAATAAGCAGACATGGTTACCTTTATTCACTAAGTCTAATGTAACTAAGCAATCAAGGTTTCTTATATAATGTTCCACTATTTATTTTGTCTTGTTTTCATTAAAAGGCAAGGATAAACAAGCGTGGTAGGAAACTTGTGGACTATGATCGCTACAGACACAACCTAGAAGTAAGCTAGTACAAAAATTAATGTAATCCCTCCCTACTCTATAGGATGTAAAACCACCAGCGCCCCCTCCCCCTGAACTGAAGTTCCAGCTACTGCATCCTAATATTTTGACATTACATTCTACCCACTCTCCCCCTGAGTGTACCCCAAGACCTTCCACATGATGGAGGGGGTGGAATCATGGATAGATCTCCTGTAGTTACTTATTACACAATGCAGTGTACCTTTAAACTTGTTTTGTTTTGTCTCTTCTTTGACCTCAAGTTTCTTTGAATTTTTTTTTTCTCTGGCAGACACTTAAAGCAAAGGGCAAGACAGCTGATCTCAAGAAATTGACTCAGGTGATTTATGCTATTTAATATGCAGTTCTGCATGATTTTGTCTAAATTTATCACTTTTTCGGACTGTGACTTCATACACTGAAGACTACATGACATAAAGATGGGATTAATATTATAAGTCGAGTCTGGATCAGATAAAGTTTGCATTCCTTTTAGCCAAACTTTTTTTGGATTTAGACAATCCAGATGATTTGGATTTTTGTGCTAGCCGGAACAAAAATGTAAAATAAGATTGATCCATACAATAGCTGCCTGCTGCTCTGATCTTCTTCTCAATTTCAACACAACACTTTTTCATTTCTTTCTGCTAAATTAAGCACCTTCTTATGGAGAAATGGGAAAAAAAATAGCTCTTTAACTAGTGGTGGTTCATACTGGGACTTGTCAACTTGAAATTATCTGGAATTTGATTCAACAAAATTCAGAAGACAATTACGAATTCTTCAACCTCGTTCTTAAGTGCTGAGAAGCGCACTCTAAACACACACATTCAGTTGGACACCGTAGTTTTACAGTGAGAAAATCCAAGCGTTTTCACTTCCTTGAAGATTTAGAGTTACAGTGGAACTTGAGTTCAATATACTACAATCCTTTAGCGGCAATTAGAACAACAGAGGAGTATAAATACCTTATGCCTGATCCAACCTTGACCGGCCATTTTTATCGATGAAGAGCACATTCCTGTAATCAAAAAGCAGTTTCCTTTAATGGAACAAAAATCTGAAACCAGATTGAGATACCAATCTGAACGATCCAAGTGCAGAGGTGGATTGTTCAGATTGCAATCTTAGATTGGTTTAGTCCTTAATGGAATGAAAAATCAAATTTCGGATTGCAAAATCTGGATTAAGATTGGTCAAAAGGAATGCAACCAAAATTAAACAATGACAGTTTTGGTTTAAAAATTTCATTCGATGAATAATTATCTTTTGAAGTTTTTAAACCAAAACTGTCTTTGTTTATAAAATACAATAATTATTATTGTTATTATTGTAATTATGTCTAACAATTACTGATCCTTGTTTCAGGCCGAAGAAGAATATAATGAAGCAAAATCAGTTTACACCAAGCTTCATGCAGAGTTATATGAAGAATTACCCGCATTATTTGACAGGTTAGAACTTTTGCAATGTTTCTACAAATATTTTTTGTTCCATCATCAGACATACATGTAGCACCACTTTAGTTTACAAGGGTGTTGCATCATAGAAGATACTTGCTCAAGGAACTCAATGAATTCAGGTTAAAATATCAACCTCCGGTTGCCAATTTTGACGTCTGGGACGTCAATGTTCTCACTGCTTAAGGTCCCTATTGACTCTCAACTTTCTTCTGTACAAATGGGTGCTAGAAAGGAAATACCGTAGGGGAATACTGTTATCAATTTTTCTTTGTTTTCTAATCCCAATAATTGTTATGCACAATAATGAACACAGTTGAACTTCCATTAAGCAGCCACCCATTAAGTGGCCACTTCTATCAAGCGACCGCGGCTACCTGTTTGCTGTCCCAACAAGAGTTTTCCCATAGTTGTCACCTCTATTAAGCGGCCTTCAAGCACTCTACAGACTACATTTGGCTTTATTTTAAGAATGTGATGAAGAAAAGGAGTCCAAGATATAGGTGACAACTGATTGTGGACCAGTAATGCTGCCCACAGTACGTGTTTGTTTTAAAATAAAGTGATGTTTCTGCTAAAGATTTTGCTGACCCGGTTTATGACGAACCTCTATTGAGTGGCCAACCTTCAGTAAGCGGCCACTTACCAGTACCCCGAGGGTGGCTGTGTAGTGGAGAATCAACTTTACTGTATTCAGGTTAGAAAATGAAGGACATTGAAGACCAAACTAGTTTAAAAACATTTTCACCCAAAATTCATTTTGAACTACAACATACATGTAAATAATTATGGGTGATTCTCAATTTGTTTTGGCTTCTAACAGTAATCATTCATAATCATGGATAGTACAAAGACAAAGGAAATCGAAAATGAACTATGCTGCAATTATTTAAGCTGATCTTCATTTTGATGTCTTTTTTTAAATTATCAATGTAAGCCCTCCCTACTCTAGATCTACAGGATGTAAAACCACTAGCAGCCCACCCCCCCTTCCTCCCCCACCCCCGTGAACTGAAGTTCCAGCTACTGCATCCTAATATTTTGACATTACATTATACCCACTCCCCCCCTGAGTGTATCCCAAGACCTTCCACATGATGGAGGGGGTGGAATCGTGGATAGATCTCCTGTAGTTACTTATTACACATATGCAGTGTACCTTTAAACTTGTTATGTTTTGTCTCTTCTTTGACCTCAAGTTTCTTTGAATTTTTTTTTTCTCTGGCAGACACTTAAAGCAAAGGGCAAGACAGCTGATCTCAAGAAATTGACTCAGGTGATTTATGCCATTTAATATGCAGTTCTGCATGATTTTGTCTAAATTTATCACTTTTTTGGACTGTGACTTTATACACTGAAGACTACGCGACATAAAGATGGGATTAATATTATAAATCGAGTCTGGATCAGATAAAGATTGCATTCCTTTTAGCCAAACTTTTTTTGGATTTAGACAATCCAGATTATTTGGATTTTTGTGCTAGCCAGAACAAAAATGTGAAACAAGATTGAACCATACAATAGGTGCTTGCTGCTCTGATGTTGTTCTCAATTTCAACACATCACTTTTTTATTTCTTTCCGCTAAATTAAGCACTTTCTCACGGAGAAATGGAAAGAAAAATAGCTCTTTAACTAGTGGTGGTTCATACTGGGACGTGGAATTTGATTCAAGAAAATTCAGAAGACAATTACGAATTCTCAAGTGCTGAGAAGCGCACTTTAAACACACACATTCAGTTGAACACTATAGTTTTACAATGAGAAAATCCAAGCGTTTTCACTTCCTTTCAGATTTAGAGTTACAGTGGAACTTGAGTTCAATATACTACAATCCTTTAGCGGCAATTAGAACAACAGAGGAGTATAAATACCTTATGCCTGAACCAACCTTGACCGGCTATGTTTATCGATGAAAGAGCATGTTCTTTCGATCAAAAAGCAGTTTCATTAAATGGAACAAAAATCTGAAACCAGATTGAGATACCAATCTGAACAATCCAAGTGCAGAGGTGGATTGTCCAGATTGCAATCTTAGATTGGTTTAGTCCTTAATGGAATGAAAAATCAAATTTCGGATTGCAAAATCTGGATTTAGATTGGTCAAAAGGAACGCAATCAAAATTAAACAACAACAGATTTCAAACGATGAATAATTATCTTTTGAAGTTTTTAAACCAAAACTGTCTTTGTTTATAAAATACAATAATTATTATTGTTATTATTGTAATTATGTCTAACATTTACTGATCTTTGTTTCAGGCCGAAGAAGAATATAATGAAGCAAAATCTGTTTACACCAAGCTTCATGCAGAGTTATATGAAGAATTACCTGCATTATTTGACAGGTTAGAACTTTTGCAGTATTTCTACAAATATTTTTTGTTCCATCATCAGACATACATGTAGTACCACTTCAGTTTACAAGGGTGTTGCATTATAGAAGATACTTGCTCAAGGAACCCAATGAATTCAGGTCAAAATATCAACTTCCGGTTGCCAATTTTGACGTCTGGGACGTCAGTGTTCTCACTGCTTAAGGTCCCTATTGACTCTCAACTTCCTTCTGTACAAATGGGTGCTAGTAAGGAAATGCTGCAGGGGAATACTCTCATCAATTTTCTTTGTTTCCTAATCCCAATAATTATTATGCATAATAATGAACACAGTTGAACTTCCATAAAAGTGGCCACCCATTAAGTGGCCACTTCTATCAAGCGACTGCAGCTACCTGATTGCCATCCCAACAAGAGTTTTCCCATAGTTGTCACCTCTAAGTGGCCGTCAAGCATTCTACAGACTACATTTGGCTTTAATTTAAGAATATGATGAAGAAAAAGAGTCTGGGATAGGTGACAACTAATTGTAGACCAGTAATGCTGCCCACATCACGTGTTTGTTTTAAAATAAAGTGATGTTTCTGCTAAAGATTTTGCTGACCCGGTTTATGACGAACCTCTATTGAGTGGCCAACCTTCAGTAAGCGGCCACTTACCGGTACCCCGAGGGTGGCTGTGTAGTGGAGAATCAACTTTACTGTATTCAGGTTAGAAAATGAAGGACATTGAAGACCAAACTAGTTTAAAAACATTTTAACCTGAAATTCATTTTGAACTACAACATACACGTAAATAATTATGGGTGATTCTCAATTTGTTTTGGCTTCTAACAGTAATCATTCATAATCATGGATAGTACAAAGACAAAGGAAATCGAAAATGAACTATGCTGCAATTATTTAAGCTGATCTTCATTTTGAACAACAATATTCAGGTTTAATAGTCATTACAGGTTATCTTCACAGAATTCTTCTCTAATGTAGTTATAGGAATTCTGTAACAATAATTATTATTAATGGTTGACTTAATTTTTCGACTTAATTTTTCTTTTTTATAGTCGAATTGGTTATTATGTATCATCCTTCCAGAGTATATTCACTGCTGAGGGAGTATTTCACAGAGAGGCAGCTAGGGTAATGATATCTTTTCTATGGCCTGTTTATCTTAATTGTTCTACATTTGAAATTAATTTTGTTGAACAGTAATGTATTTGTTGTGTCTGCATTTGTTTTGTTGTTTCAGACTAAGACACAAATGAATGATCTTATGGATGGTTTAATTCATGATATGTCAACTGGTATATACACAACTAAAAGACCTTACCCTGTTCAAAGGTATGTGTTAACACATAATTCAAATGTGTCCTGAAATTTGCCCAATATTTCTGGTGAAGTTTCTTGCCTGCTTTGCTCCTGTTTCTCAACATGCCAAGTTAGTTTGTGTAATTCTGCGAGTTATCATTTCCAAAGAGGAGTAATTTAACCAGGTTGGTTTTTGAATTAACCCATTTGCCCCTGAGCTGCTGGTAACCGCCTGTGCAGATCCACATCCTTTCTACTGCTTGTGACATCATCAGTTTTGATTGTCAAAGATTACTTTGCCTGCTAACTTGTGTAGAGTGAAGAGATGTTTCAAACCATACCAGAATGGGCCCAATTCAGTCAAGGACACCAGACAAAAAGGCAAAAAACCATGAAACATTGAACTGAAAATTTCCATGAAAATCTGTTCCACTACCCACCTACCTTTCCTTTTATCTAATCCTAAGATCCCAAAAGCTTTCTTAAAGACTTTTCCCACCAAAATGAGGCCTACTAAATGCCCAGAAATAGAAAAAAAAAGAGGCATGAAAAGCGAAAAAAGAGGGGGGTAGAGAAAGCGAAAAGTAAAAGTCAAGACTGCTGTGTCACTTTGAAACCCAAAAATTCTCGAAATTTTACTTTCCGTGCTTGCCTGAACTTCGCAAGCTAATATTTTGCATCTGGATCAGAAGGCCGTAAAGTGTACAACCTGTAAACAGCTTTATGGTAAGTTTTAGCTCTTTATAGCATGACAGTGACCGGAAAAGCAATTGACTAGCTTTAAGACGGGTTTTTCAGCAAAATCCCTAAGGGTGAATGGGTTGAGAAACAATGCTATTTTCGACATGTGAATCTCAAATGTGTTTTTTAAAAACAAACATTTTGAGTCACATTATTTCATTAGATATTTTATTCCCTCTTGCAGCAGTAAACTAATGATACAGTTGTTTTTTTCTGTCACTCAGTGAAAACCAAGTGTCAGACAGTGACGATACAGACGCCCAGACGACATCCTCTCACCCAGAAAGTGGTGATGCAATAGTGTGCAATGATGAGGCAGTCATATTAGAAACTAATGATGGTTAGTGTCCAGGAAATTCATCTATTCATCTATCATCAAAATTCATCTGGGGCCCGTTTCTCAAAAGTGCTGACGATTAATGGGCCTGGAGAACTGTTGTTGTTTACATTTAAGAAAGAGGTTCTAATATTTTTGCAGTTAGCATGATAACAAATCAAAATTGACTGATTTAGTTGCTAGGACCTGCACTTTTATTCTTTTGATTTTGATTTGAATATTTGATTTCAGGTTCAAAAAATACCAGGACTTTTGAGAAACAGGCTTCAAGAGAGATAAATGTTATTATAAAATGAGAGGTTTATGAATCGAGGTGTAACCTTGTTCACTAAGTAGTCCTTCCTTTGGAAGCAAGGTAACTACAGTCAAACCTCTATTAAGTGACCCTCTCAAGCGGTCACCCTCGATATATTGAGGTGGCTCGACACAGTTTTTCAAGGGCAATACCTCCCACATTTGAGCATAAACTAAGTCGCCATAAACAAAGATCTGGAAAAATTGCCACCACAGTTGTATTAGATAAAAATGAGAATTTGTTATGATCGGGTTGCAACGACAGCGGAGTTGTCATAGCAACGAAATGACGCCTTTACCTTTTTACTCTTAGCAGTATTTCTCAGCATGGGGAACTGTTCTTCTAAAATCATTCAGGGGAGCCTTTCCCTTCAATAGCTGTCTCGATGTTCGTGAAGTTTAGGCGAAATCTGTAAGAGCGTTATTGAGATATTTTGGTATGAAGTTTTTATGGTTATAAATATGGTAAAAAATGGACGATCTTGATGTTCAGCTGTTATCAGTAGAAAACAAAGCGGTTTTGACATGCAATTTCACCTCCTAGTAGTTTCAATCTTTTTTAAAAACGTGTGTGAAAGACCATGGAGATAGCTTCAGTCGATTGCGGGAAAGAAGGATTTGACTAGTATGTATCCAGGCGCTTTTGTTAGTGGTTTTGTAAACATTTTGGTCTACTTTAACAAAATAGCGAATAATTTTTTTACGGCTAGATAGATTTTTTAAAAGTTTAAGATTTGTGAGATTTTGACTGTCCTTTTATATGGTCTTCTAGTTTGGAGATTGCATTTCTGCAACTGCCAATACATACATGTACAGCCAAAGTTGAGATCTTGATGTCAATCAATATTATTAACAATCAAGAATTAAGATTCTCTTCAAAATATGTACTTTGCAGTAAGAGTAATTGTACATGGGAAAAAAAGACGTTGATTTTTAACAAAAACTTTTCCTTTGGTTTTAAGTAGCTGAAAATCAAATTGTTGCACAATGGTCATGTGTTATTGACAACCACTCCTGTAATTTTGTCCTTTTTTCGTTTCATATCTTAGATGGAACTGTAAATCAGATAGAGGGCAAGGCTGCGGTTGGAGCAGATGGTATATTGTTTACTCCTTATTTTTTCATTCTGAAGATGATTCATTATTTTTTATTAAGTAGCAATACTGTAAATAACCCCCCCCCCCCCTGTTGGGGGTCCTCCCTTTTTTAAGCAATAAAGGTTTGGGCTGCCCCAAGGGGTAGGGTTTTTGGGCTTTTTTGTTTTAAAACTGGGATTCAACACTTCCCCCCTTTTTGTTTTGATCCGGTAGAGTCTTCCGGGGAAACCCCCCCCCCCCCCCTGTTGGGGGTACTCCCTTATGTAAGCAATATAGGTATGTGCTGCCCCAAAGGGTATGGTTTTTGGGCCTTTTTGGTCTAAAAATGGGTATCATACACTGCGCCCATTTTGTCTTGAATCGGGTATGATTTTCGAGGGAACTACATGAGTGTATGAATGTATTTATCGTTTCAATTCCAAATGAATAAGAACAAAATAGAATTAAAAATTCCAAATGCATTTGAAGAATTTTTTTTTGTTTGAGCTCTGTTCCAAGTATTGATGAAATAATTTCTGCCTAAAGGCCAGATCTGAAAATGGGAATGGATTTTAGAGGTCTGGTCTGAAAACGGGTATGGAAAATGGAGAACTGGATGGCACACCCCCACCTCCCCCCCTCCCCGGTTTTCCTTTAAACGCTCAAAGTAGAGCCTAGGGCTACGGATACTCAACAACCTTTCTGTTATGTCATCTGATGTACTACATTGCTGATGACGTTCAAGCAATTTGGAGGAAATATTTGATTTTGTTTTTAAAAGTTGTTGCTCCAAGTCTTGAAATTTGTACACTAAATGCCTTATATTGTCATTCGTAAAGATATCTCAGAAGGTACCCGGTCAGGTTAAATACCAGTTATCTCCTTGGCCTGTTACAAGAGTGTACAAAGTCTCATTAGAACTGTTTAAAAAGGATTTTTCATCACTGCATTTTGTTCCACAGCCACGAACCCATTCCTGCAGTCTGACCAGGATGAAGCAGATACTGTGGGAGGGGAGACTGTGACTTCCCAAGAAAGCCAAGAAAAGCCCAAGCCCGTACCAGCTGCACGACCCCCACCCCCTCAGGTTAAACCAGAAAGACCTGCAGTTCCGAATTTGCCTGTAAGTAGACAGCAACCACAAGCAGAGGGCACTGAGGTAAGTTCAGTATCCAAAAAATACTACCAAAACAGTTAGACCACGAATTCAGAGATACGTGCGACAGTTGATTTTGGCACCAGATGTTTATGATTTGAGTCATGTAGCTTTGTTTGTCAAACTAGAAAGGTGCACTCACGTGGCCACATTCCTGAGCGTTTGGTGGATCAAAGAAAGCCAATGCAAGTAAAATGCATAATGGTGTTCTCTGTAAACCAAAAAGGAGAAATTTTCACTTGTGGAAAGTCAGTCGATGAAAGTTCTTTCGGTTTCAGCCGTCTTGCGTTATATATAGACTCTGACCACTGATGTGTGAACAACAAATCCAGCTATGAGAAAAGAGTGTGACCACGTGAGTTCACCTCTTTGGTTTGACAAACAAATCCACATGACCTGATTCGTTAACGTCTGGTGCCAAAATCAACTGTGACGCCTGTCTTTGAATTTGCAGTCTACCTGTTTCGGTAGTAACTGCTAGAATTAGACACTGGTGACTATGCATTATCTTTACTCTCTTGGATCAACCTTTGATGACAGGCCTTTCCATCTTCCAAACAGACCCGTCTACATTCTATTTCAAGTTTTGATTAGGATCAGTTTGCAAAATTTGTTGATACAACTGGAAAGAGCACCTTAATTATTACCAAGTTTGAAAGTGATACCATGTGGCACAAAATTTTTGCGAGGTTTTGCGATTTTTCCAGCAATCTGCCAAAATAAGGTCTTGCAAATTTACCACAAACATTTTTCCTGCAAAAATTTACTCCAGAGTAAATAATTATATTTTCTAACTTAAATTCGCTACACAAAGATACAGTAGTAAGAAATCGAGTCTGTTCAATCACAACTTGTCTCTTTCATTCAGAAACAAAATGGTATACAATGAACTACTGGTTTTACATAAGTATATGCACACTGTAGTATTGTTTGAAAATGTTTATTTCAGTCTATAGCATGTACTCAATAAAAACAAAAATATTATTAATGCTGGACACTGGGCACTTTATGAAAATGGCGAAAGTTAATTCCCAGCAAGAAAAGCCAATCTGTCCTAATCGCAGAAATAATTAGTTTCAGCAAAACACAAAAAATCACCAATCTGCACGAATAGAATCCCTCAAAAATTTCAGGCCTCATGTTAAGTCTCAAGTGACACAACAAATTAAAGATGCAATAAAACAACCTGTGGGCATGTTCATGCATCCAACTGACAGACAAGACTCATATAAGAAGTTCATTGATATATTTTATCTCACCACACAGAGTAAGGGATCACCATCAAGTGAAGAATCTCCTCCAACATCCATGCCACAGGCAGAAGGAGAAAAGCAGGAGACTACAACAGCTGAAATTCCGGGAGTTCAATATAAGGTACAGTGTTTACGTTGTTATTAGTATCAATTTTCTCCTCATAAGAAGGTAGTAAAATTCCTGGAGTTCTCCATGAAGTACAGCAGTTACATTGTTATTTTCAGTATTCTCTATTTTTGAATCCCCCATAATACACTCTCTTCGCCCCCCAAAGTTTGCATAAACCATTGTTTTCAAATGCTCCTGGACTGCATTTTCCCAAGAGCATTTGAAGACAAAAACTTATGCAAAATTCGGGGGGCAAACAGAGTGTATTATGAGGGATTCAAAAATAGTCAATTCAATTTCTCGTCTCGAGTTATCTCTACTTCAGTAAACAAACAGTCTGTAAGATAGTAAAAGCAGTCATTTTAAAGGCATTGTCAAAGAATGGAAGCCTGTGAAATAATTCATTTGGAAATAATAAGCATCTTATCTGCATTAAAATATAGTACAAGTTCTTAGTCCTGGCATGCATTTCTCAAAACTCCCAAAGAGTTTTCAGGCCCAGATAGTTTTGAAATGGAATAATATCTCATCCATTTATTTTTTGTAAAGCGTAGGCCAGTGCACTTCTCGTTCTTATAAAGTTTTCAAATCTTCCCATTTGAAGTTTAATCTCATTCATATTTTTGCTTGACTAAAGTTTTTGTGAGTTTTGAGAAACATGCACCTGGACTTTTTTCAGATTTCTATGCTCGGAATTCCTAAAGCATCATTCTCGCCATGGCTATTGTTTTCCATCAGGCCAGGGTAGATCAAAGTACAGTTTTATTTTCATTAAATGGCCACCTATTAAGGGGCCAGTGATCAAAGTCCCAAAATATATTGTAGAGAACAATAATATTATTGTAAGCTTAACTTCCATTAACTAAAGCAGCCACCTCTATTAAGAAGCCGCAGCCACCTTTTCGCCATCCTGACGAGAGTTCCCTCATTGTTGTCACCTCTATTAAGCAGCCATCAAGGGTTTGATACATTATTTTATTTTGGCTTTATTTCAAAAATATGTTGAAAATATAGTTGGAGATGGATGGTTATTGATTGTGGACCAGCAATGCTGCTCCCATCAGATTCCATCACATGTGTGTCTGAAAATAGTGATATTTCCGCTTATTTCTGACAAACCTGTATTGTTCAGTGCTGCAAGGTTGTGGAACAGACTTCCTGAGGAGTTGAAAGACTGTTCTACCTTGACATCTTTCGAAAACAAACTTAAGCGAATAGAAGTTTGTAAATTGTAGGGGACAATCTTTATTAATTCCGTCATTAGTTTATCTTCAAATTCTTGCCTATGAATCATAGTTTTTTATCGTTTTTTTTTTCTGCGGGTCATGTGTAGATTATCGAGAGATATTAAGTGCTACCCTCAAATTATAGAAAAAGTTATCATCGTCATCATCATCATCATCTTTATTATTAGTAGTAGTATTATAACTTCTGTTAAGAGACTTATGAGTCGCCATCAAATGGAGGTTGAACTGTAGTTACCAGTTGTTTAAAACTTTCTCTCCAGGTTCGAGCAGCCTATAAATATGTAGCTGAGGATGATGATGAGTTGTCATTTGAGAAAGGAGAAATCATAAATGTAGTACCATCAAATGGAGGTTGAACTGTAGTTACCAGTTGTTTAAAACTTTCTCTCCAGGTTCGAGCAGCCTATAAATATGTAGCTGAGGATGATGATGAGTTGTCATTTGAGAAAGGAGAAATCATAAATGTAGTTGAGTTTGATGATCCTGAAGAACAGGTACGTTGCTTTGAATAATTGTAGAACAAGGACGTGGTTGAAAATATTCCAAGAAATAGATATACAGGTAAACCCTGTAAATAAGGACACTGAGGGGACCATAAAAAGTGTTCGTTTTAACAGGGTGTCCGTATGAAGCGAGTTGAATATAGAGAAAATGTGAGGGCTTGCTTTCTCTAGGGACAAGAAAATATTAATTCTGTAATAATGAGGTGTCCATAAAGCGGTGTTCAACTGTGTTAGAAATTGCCTGTTATCAATGAAGGAAGGGTGGTTGTTACACAGACACAATCACTTGTTCAAAGAGAATTTACTCCATACAATGAGGGTTAAGGGGTCCCATAGGAAGTTTTTAAACTCTGGAATTAGGTGAAAAACAACTTTTGCCACCCAGTCATTATTGATTGGTTTTCTGTACAAATAATATTTTGTAAATGTTGAAATTTTCAAACTGTCATTTAATATTTCTCTTATGCAGCACAAGGCTCAAATTTTCTGTTATGAACAAAAGAAAATTTTAGCCTCCATGAGGTTCAAGGAAAGATTCTTCAATTCAATATTTAATATTTAATATTTACAAGGATTTGTATGGAAAATCACTCAACCATGACTGGGCGGCAAGAGTTGTTTTTCGAATATAAATCCTTCTAATTTTTTGGTAGCCATTGAAATCCCTTCTTTTATGATATAGGGATGAAAATTTACAGGTTACCTATTTTTAATATTCTCTTTCAGTTCCTGCTAAAAATCATTTCTCCAAAGCTAACTGTTTTTATGTTTACAGAAAGTTGATCATGTAACAGCATTATTGCAAAAGGCCTATTACTAAGCAATGCATTCTTAGAGTTTTATGGCATCATGTTATTTTCCTACTACATCTGAACACCATGGTGTTTTCATAGCTCTTCTGACTTTCTGTGCTGTTTCACATCTCTGTAGGATGAAGGTTGGCTAATGGGTATCTTAGAACTTAGTGGTATCAAAGGAGTCTTCCCTGCAAACTTTACAAAGCCAATTTAACAGTGACTGGTCAAGAAGAGAAAGAAACAAGACTGATAGGAGTTGGCAGAAAATAATGTAGGGTTTCTATAAGTTATAATTTACTGGATATATTTGAGCTGTTCGAATATTATGATATCAATATAATAATGCGCAGCAGCTTAAGAAACTATCCGAACTAACGATAGACAATTCTACAGGGAAGAAGGTCTTAGAACTATAATTTGTTAAAGGAGAGTACTCAAAGCAAATTAGAATTTCTAGAGGGGTATTGTGGGTATTTGAACAAAAAATCTTCTCTGGGGTGGGGAGGGGTTGATGTGAATAGTTGAGATCAGTATGTGATCTTGTAAGACTACCCACCCACCCCCTCCCTTACCCAATGCTAACACTAACTTTTCTCTTGGGGCAAACTGTTGGGTTAGGGGAGGTGTAGCTTGGATCACTATACTAGTCAAGGGAAGGTTGGGTAGGGGAGGGTAGGAAACTACCCACCCTCCCCTTCCCTAACCCAACCCTAACACTAACTTTTCACTTGAAGCAAAATTTTGGGTTAAGGGAGGGGCTGGTGGGTAGTTTTGCAAAATCCTATACTGATGCAATAGTTTCTTCTTGAGACGATGGAGGTGAAAGATGATTGTCAGCAGTTTTGTGAAAATATATGCCTTCTATGTGCAGATCTTTCTTTGCACGTGTAGTGGAATCTTGTGTCATATAGCGTTGATACCCATCTCACTGGATCCCTCCCCCCCCCC